ATCAATCACTGTAGTTGCTGATTCAAAATACCAGGGACTAATGAATAAAGCTGTTCCGTCCAACAGAGAAATAGCGGGTAATGAATCAGACATGCTAACATCCTTGTCATACAAACATACCATTGCCAGGTCCCAATCAGACTGTGCTTGTTGCAAGAACGGATTAAATTAACTCTGTAGATGATATTGGAGATTTAACGAGGGCCGCCCGACTTGGGGACAACGAGAATCTGTTATCAAAGTGTTACATGGCTAAATTATGCCACTACACGCCAACGAATTTTCAAAGTGTGACAAACCAAATGATACCATCAGCAGAAGTCCTAATAAGGTCAAGTAGGTTTGAAACTAAGCACTGGATCTGAACAATTCAAGAACTGAAATGTCGAAGCAAATGAATCTTTGAAATATTAAGACGCCAATAGTCCATTGCAGGAAAAGATGTCCATACCGTTCTATTAATCGATTATTGCATGAATGTAACACATCAAGGCAGAATTCATTTGATATATCGGGTTCACTTGAATTGGTAATGTTTTACATAAGTGGCGATTCACACCTTTGGACATAAAGTGAACATATTTTAATGGATACTGGCTGTGTTATTGATTTTTATATCATTAAGCGGCATGTCATCTATTGATATTTCTCTATCAAATAATTCAGGTAAAAGATTGCACACATTGTATCCTATGCATGAACAACAAAGACCTAAATAGGTAAAGGTCACATGCAACCAAAAAATCAAACATAATTAAAACACAATTATCACTTCTTCATGACATATAATATGCATTGCTGATTATGAAAAAACAAATAAACAAAATTATAAGCGTATAATCGCAAATCAAAAGTGCAATATTTTGTACTTGGGTTTACCTCCCTCGAAACGAAGCAGCCGGGATACCGAACCCAGTCAGAGCGGGTGGGTGTGCACTCAAGTGTAACGGCTGGTTCATTAGCAGATGCCGCCTTCACGGCTCATTGTGTTTGTATATATAGAGATGTTGGGTTTTGTAAATACATGCTCATTTTTTTGTGTATAACATTTTGCAATCAACAGACATCATAACATGTCATGTGTTCAAGTATCACACCTGCCTGTCTGTATAATTACATAATGTGACAGAGACCGAACCCGGCCATAAATCAATGCGTTTTGTTTATGGTGTATAGCCTGATTGGTGTTAAGTTCAAATTGCATGTGGTCAGTGATCGCAGTTGTGTATTGAATGTTGTCATTAGCAGACAGGCAGGCAGACACACAGGTGTCAATAAAACAAGACATTGAGTTTTGTCTGTGACAGCGACATATCTATATCACAGTTAGAAATTGTGTCAACGCTAAATAATGACATTGCTTTTAAGTATCGAACTGAGAAAGTGACTCGGTAAGAAGAACGTGTGGTGAAATAGACAAATGAAATTATATAAACAGTTTATTTACTGTCATTACATATAAAAAGCTCGCGCCTGTGAGATATCAACAAAACATTATGAAAATAGCTCACACCAAAGCCTTCACCGAGTATTCACCAGACAGCTCGCTTCCAAGTTGCGCGAACCTATTTCACTGCGCACGTGCTATGAGCGCAGCCCAGCTGTTGAAACCCGTATTCCCCAGAAAAGTCTGGGGAAAATTAGTGAAACGTTTGAACTCCGATTTCGCGCGTTTTTTTCCATCGCGTTATTTTTCAACTTTATAAGTTGAATTTGCATTTTTGACGCATTGTTTCGGTAAGTCCATACCGAAAGGTATCAGAATCTGCAAAGTTGTGTTTTACGTTGCATGTGACCTGTAAGCTTTTACACATTATAAACATGAAACTTCTTTTATTTTCTCTCACCTTGCTCTCTCTCTATCAGTTGTTGGCGATCATTAGCCTGTTTTTTATATTGTATCGTCTTGTATAGTTCAAATGTTTTAGATTTTGTTACTAGTTTTATATCTATATCTGTGATAATCTAGTTATTTTACTGTCCTTCGTTGGCAGAATTTTATAATTTCACTTAAATTGTTGATATATTTAGAACTTGCTTTAGTCACGATATGGCTGAAATATTGCCGATGTGACTTAAAATCTTAACTCACTCACTCACTCACTCACTCACTCTCTCTCCAAAAATATCGGGAATAATTAAATTTTATGATCGCTCGTAAGAGGAGGATCGGTTTTGAGTTTTCAGGACTTCCTCGACGATAACGTGTGTGCAGAATCTGGGAGTTAGAGGCAAGAGGTAGGCATTCACATGGGCACCAGAATTCCAACCCAGTCCCGTCCCATAAGCCCCTCCCCCGAGCCTTCTTCCTTGGATGAAGACAACAACTGGTTGATCGGCATGGCGTCTCAGCCAGAGAAACTTGATTGCGTGGTTGATACATGTTGGTTAAATGTAATGTGGTGCGTGAAAATGTGCGACGCACATAATGTGGGTCATTCGTTGAGAGTGTGAAGCTAATTGTCTTCGAAACACTGTTAGGCAGCACAAGGATCATTTAATAACTTCATTCATCCATGAGGAAAGTATACTCTGCTTCTTAATTACCATTGTAATTTAATGGAAACCGTACACACGTGTGCAAAGTGCAAGTGGTGCTGATATTTGTAAAAAGATTGTCGATGTCTACAACATATACACCGAAACGTCGCATCTATTGCAACAAAGAAGATGTCTATAAAACGTGTTCCTCTACAGCATTGCCGACGTTTTATATCTGATGCTGCAATTGAATCAATCATCTGAAAACAGAAGGCGAAAGTAAACAGAACAAAAGCTGTAAATTATTTCCCCTTTATGCTACATTGTTGTTGAAACAAATGACTGATGACGTAAGCTAAGAATGTTTACTTGGGAATCTGGAACATATTTCCAACTTTGTATCTAGCTAATATTCAACCCCAATTCAATTAATTTTATTTCGGTTTTATAGGCCGTTGGCCCATAAACAATAAAAAAGACAGTTTACATATAAAGAGGAGCAAATTATACAGAGAAAAAGCAGTTAACTTATTACAGAAGATGTAAGAGAGTTTCCAACAGCAATAATGTCTTTAATATATTTCGATCCGTTAAAACGTACGGGTACAATTGCTGCTAATGAATATATGCAGTCAGTATGCTATCCTGTTCACAATATGGAAAATACTTATATCTAATAAAATTATATGCTGTGCATTCAAACATGACGTGAATTTCTTCTTCATTCGACCCGCAGCCACACATTTTATATATCTTATCAAAATTGCTACTTCTAATATTACATCTTAGTGGAAGTGCATGTAATCTAAGTAAACATATATTTCTTCTAATTGCTATGTGACATAATATTCAACATTTAACAATGATTTCACTACTTTAAAATATCTTAGATGGAGAGATTCACTTATTTTACCAAGAATACGTTGTTTATCACAACCAAGAAGTCTGTTCTTAAAAAGGGAAGTAAAATGGGAAATCAAATCCGAAACCATAGGAACTTAAACGATATTTAACCGATGTCGCCCAAGTCATTCTGCAAACTGAATCTAATTTCTTCACAAGTAAATAAAACTGTTTTGGATAACGATCCTTGGACATCCTTAACAACTTACACGAATAGCTAATAATCCACATACATATTTGATATATCACAATCTGCTAAAATACCATTACTTCCAACACCAAGAACATATTTACAGAAAAATAGTGTGAAATATTTCAATCGATTCCCTTTGCTCAAAATCCCCAAATTACAGAGCCATATAACTTTGGTTTAACCTTACTATCAAATAATTTCAACATTAAGCTAGCAGGCATATTAGGATATTTGTTAAACAATACCTTCAGAGACAAAATTGCCTTACTGGCTTTACCAACCAAAGTATGTGTACACTTTGTCCAGGACAATCGAGTAGAAAATAGAATACCGAGGTATTATAGTATGTTGATGCTTTTAACTGGAATGCCATTGTCAAATCATTTTTCATATGAACGAAGAAAACCACCATTACGAAATACCAAAACCTCTGTCTTATCCATATTAACCTCCAGACCTCAAGAGCACCAATACTTATGTAAAATGTCAATCTTTCTCTATAAGCCTATCCCAGTATCTTCAAATAAAATTTAGATCATCAGCATACAACAACAAAAGCAAATCAACATAATCTGATCCAACAAAGATACCCCTTAGACCTGAATTCTGCAACATACCCTGAAACTCTGTTATAAACATCGCAAAAAGAAACGGACTTAAAGTGCAACCCTGACTTACGCCCCTTAATGATTCAAACTATCCACCAATTCACGAATGAGAATATCAAACTAAAACCAATATTTTAGAATACATATCCCTTAAAACTGAAATTAATTTGCATCTTATCACTTGCCTGAAAGGTGAATACCAAAGGAATGTCTTATTAACGGAATCGAAGGCCTTTCGAAAATCAACACGAAAACAATATAAACGACCACCACCTTTAGAAAGATACTTCTGAATGAGACATTGCAATGAAAATATACTATCTCTGGTAGAATAACCTTTACGAATCCAAGCTTGTGCCTCCCCAACTCTGGAGCATGTATTACCTTTGAATTTGTGCTACCATTCTATTTTGTACTGGCATAGTGATATCCTTGCAGTGGCGTGTATTGTTTTGTGAACTAAATTGATTTTCGAATCCAATTGTTAATCACATCACATTTCTTTCTTGTTGTTTGTTGTTTTAAACCTAGTCCTGTTGCGGACTGATCCCAGTTAATGTTTTAGTTTCAACTTATGAATCATAACGCATAATTTAGAAATATCACTTACTGGATATAATTTAGTATTCTATCTTCCTATTTCAACTATCAAACACACGTTCCATACTGATTCGATCGTTTTGCGGATACACGTTTTAATATGAAGGCGAAAAGTACCGTTATGTAATTAAGGGCACGATAACATATGCTTTTAATGACCTGTAATGGTTAATTACATGTTTTACGCACAAAAACAACAAGGCACTGATATGATTGGCAGGTGTTTAGTCCAGTGGTTATAAAAAACTGGACCCTGCAAGTACAGCTTCATTGGTACTGATGGGACGTGTAGGATCTGTCTCCACAAGGTCTTCACCACCCACAGTGTCATCCTCGACAGGGCTCTGAAAGTAGACAGTATAGTATAGTGAAAGTATAGATGTGTGCTTTCATCACCCATATGCCAACTTGAGTAGAACATTTTTCATGAGCATTGTATTCACATACAGATTGTGTTCAATTGTTGTCAGTGCAAATTTGTCCCATTGTTGGACAGGGTGGCCGACGTATGCTTCCATTTCCTGCATTTTTGTTTTGGGTTAGCTATACAACTTGCTCTTCCAAGTGATCCAGTGTTGTGGAGCATGGCTGATTGATAATTCAGCGATAGTTTACAAGGTTAACACTGAAACATAAACTCGACATAGAGACATACATTCTACATGGTAACAGTATGCGAAATAGCCCGTGGCTAGTACAAATCCAGTGGGGCCAGTCACTGGCCCGACTGGCTAGTGAATTTTCATGGGGTAACTTTTTAAATATATCACTCTCTGCGACTTGTTAAATTATAATACACTTTTATAAATCATGCAAGATTATGGCCTGATAAATGATGATATTACGTTTTTGTAATCTTTTGCGAATTTTTCACATTCAAATTTAGGGCTAGTGAATTATTTTGCACACTGCATGGCAACCATAAATCGACACCAGGTACAGAACCATGTGTCTATTTGTGCTCAAGTGTGCAGAATACACGGGCTGATTTGTTTACGGATTTGAAGCATATGTCCCCATGTTGTATATTTGGTACTGTTTCATAAACACCTGCTTATGATGTGTAACCGATTACATGCCAAGTGTCGCTTTTCTTTCCATCTTCCACAGCCAATATTACAAAAGATACCCCGCAAGGTGTCTATGCACACATGCAGGTATGGATTTTGTTCAACTACATTACATGATATCAGTATCATTGTTTGTTTTGGATTCATATCCTCATGTGTCTCGGAGTTTTACAGTAATGAAGTTGCAGCTAACGACAAATCAGGAAATAACATGGTCACATTATAGAGCCCCAACCGTTACAGTTGGCCTAAAAAAAAATCCCTTAAGTCAACATTCCCGTGATAGCAGAACAAGCCTAGCGTTAAGAAAAGAGATTTCGGATGGACTTGATACTATCGGCCCTTCAACACCTACCAGTTCGTAGTTCCCTGAGCATGTGGTGGAAGGTCTGGGCGCGGCTCTCAGTGAGTCCGGCATACACCAACACTGGATGTCCTTCAGATGGATAAGACAGTCGGGGTCAGCTGGCGTTTTGTTGCCTCCTACAACATGTTGTGTGGGTGTTGTAGTAAAAACGTAGGAGTTGACACGAATTTCCCAAATCGATGAGAAGAAATATGAATTAAACCACCATGAGAGCCACGCAGAAAATCACCCAAAACTAAAATAAATAAAACCCACCAACCCACAAAAAAAAAATTACGGAAGCGCTGAAGGGACCTGATGAAATATAATTTATCTTGAGCGCACAAATTAGTATGTTGAGCGCACAAGTTAGTATATTGAGCGCACAAGTTAACATCTTGAGCGCACAAGTTTATATCTTGAGCGCACAAGTTAGTTATCTTGACTGCACAAGTTAATATATTGAGCGCACAAGTTAGTATCTTGAGCGCACACGTTAGTATATTGAGCGCACAAGTTAGTTATCTTGAGTGCACAAGTTAGTATGTTGAGCGCTCAACTTAGTATTTTGAGATACACTGCTCCATAAGCAGTTCATGTGGAAGCAAGAAGGAGCGGAAACGCGAGCTGATTCATGCTTTTTTCAGTCTTGGGTTCCAATACAAACACATAACACATCTTCTTGTCAAAACTCAGGGTATAGTATAGTACGCCACTTGAAGCGTATTTTGAGGTGTATGTCCCTCTTTCGCACCAGATACCAGATTTGCTGATGTTACAGTGAGTGAGTGAGTCGTGACAGAGTTACACGCCCCTATCAACAATGTCACGGAACACAGCAGCTGAGAAAATTTAGGTAATTATCAAACTGCCTCGTGAAATTTGACGACTAACTGTCAATACTACTTTATAAGGGACTAGAGCATCTATATGAACTAATTATGATAGACCTATCGCTCTACAGAGCGAGGATCGGGCTCTTTACGCACCCGAGGGGTAGCCGACAGGTCGGCCATTGTGACTCCTACACCCCATACACTGCCAGCTCTGATGTACCCGGCAGACTGACTCTCTGTGCTGTGCTATTCTTTATACATCTCATCCTTTCCTTTTCCCTTGTGCGATATGTGGAGGTTTGTGCTGATACTGGGCGTCTTGAGTTTGATCTACTGACTGGGGAAAATGTTTGTTTACATTTGTGCGACAATAGTGACGTCACAGATAGCTCAAGACTGACCAGTGTTTTGTGCTATAAACATCTGATAACAGCAACTCTCCCAGTAAAGAAACTGATTCCTTCAACGTTACATCTGTCAGGAGATATAGAACTCAATCCCGGTCCTATTGATGGTCTAGATGAGATGAGGAGGGACATTGTGAAACAGATAAAGGCGAGTGAGGATAGATTATCTAGGGATATAAGATCTATCAAAGATGACATTAGAGACATGAAATCTGACATCCACGAGCTCAGAGAGGACATAAACACTAGTAAACAAGAGCAGGATGTGATGAAATTAGATATTGAGGCTTTGAATGACAGGACAGTGGATATTGAGAAGTATTTGGAAGAATTAGACACTAAACTGGAGGATCAAGAGCAACGTAGCAGACGAAACAATGTCGTGCTATATAAATGTGCCTGAGAGCGGTCAACGAGAGACATACACTGAGAGTAAGGATAAAGTTTTGACAGTTCTCAATAAGGCCAGGGTAGTGAAGAATCTCCCACCTTTAGTCCCGAGGGATATAGAAAGGGCACATAGACTGTCTACTAAGAAGGGTGACAAGGCTAGGCCCATTATAGCTCGCATGTGTCATTCGGAGGATAAGTGGCAATCGGTGAAAATGAGGAGTGTTCTGAAGGACCAGGGTGTGGGGATTGCTAACGACCTCACAACTTACCAACGCAAGGAACTTCAACGACGACGCAGTGAAAACCCTAACATACGTTACTATTTCAAGGGTAACAAACTGATGGAAGCACCCTGGGACGACCCGGATAGGACGACAGACACACCTGCACCCACCCAGTCTCCCTCACACCATGCTGGGAACACCTCGCGAGAGCGTAGCAACAGCCAAGGTCGTCCCCGTCGTGGTCTCAGGTCGGATTCGCGTCGCCCTCCAAGGGAACACTCCCACTAGGGGTGGGGCCAAGGCCACGATTATCGTAAACATTTTACGGCGCATCGGAAACGACCGGAGCAGAAAGATGTGACCTCTGCAACTGTTAACAATACATCGGACTTTGTGAACTTTGTGTTTTGGAATATTGGAGGGATAATACACAAATTATATGATAATGATTTTATTGATTATATCAAATCATTTGATGTCATTGGAATTAGTGAAACTTGGAGTGAGAATATAGATATCCATAATATTTTCCTTGATTTTGAGGTGATTGTAAAAGCAGCAGATAAAATATCTACCTGTGGAAGACTTTCCGGTGGGATATTAGTCTTGATACGTGACCAGTTTTGTAAATATCTGAAATGGACTAAAACAACAGAAAACGCTCTTTTTATACTATTTGATCGTGCATTATTTGGTCTGGACAGAGATATCCTCTACGCATGTGTATACATTCAACCAGAAGGCTCGTCATGGTACGATAAACTATATCCACATTGTAAAAATGGAATTATTTTATTTCAAGATTCATTATTAGATGTTGTATCTCATCTACCAGATGTTTATATTCTCTGTGGTGGTGATTTTAATGCTCGAACTGGCACAAACCCTGACTTTGTAGAGGATGATTTATTAGAATACACAGAAAATCAAAAAGAATCCTATTGGGACCTTTTTAATTGATTTTTTTAATCTAAAACATTTTTCCGCCGACAGAACTCTAAACAATTTTGGTAAAACCTTACTAGATCTATGTTCTACCATGAATATCCATATTATGAACGGGCGATGTGGCAGCGACCTAGAAACTGGGGGATTTTACGTATATAGGCAATAATGGTACAAGCCTAATAGATTACATTATCTCATCATCGATATTATTTGACTTTGTTGGTGCTTTTAGCATACAATCTCGTATCGAGTCAGATCATTTACCAATAACACTATCAGTAAAGAGAGATTATGTTAGATATTCTGACGGGTGTGACACACATCCAAATAATGCTTATAAGTTCTTCTGGGAAAACGATAAAGCTGAACAACTGAGAGAGAATCTGTTTTCGGATCATGTTCAATCATTACTTGATAAATCAGTTGATAATGCATTAACAAATATTGATGACAGCATTAAATATGTCACTAATGCTCTCTGTTTAGCTGCGGAAAATATGAAAAGAAAAATTGGTACATCAAAGAAAATATCAAACAAATGGTATGATAGTGCATGTGAGAAACTTAAAACTAAACGTTGTAAGCTATTAAATAAGTTTAGAAAATCGAAAGATAAGAGGTCATTTGAAGAATATTGTCAGATAAGAAATGAATATAATGTAGTATGTAAACAAAAGCGACTTGATTACTTTAAAGAAAAGCGGTTAGACATAGAAAATAGCATATGGGACTCAAAAATGTTTTGGCTTAAACTGAAAACTTTGAACACTTCTATCGTAGCAAAAAAACAATATTAGTATGAATGAGTGGCATCAACATTTTAGAAATCTTCTCAACTTAGAAACGGATAATAATACTGATAACTTTGTTGACGACGCAAATCCATCTACGTCTCCTGACCCTAATTTTGCGCTAACAGAGGATATGCTGGACTCTCCTATTAGTAGGGACGAGATTCTGGACAGCATTAAATGCTTAAAACCCAATAAATCACCAGGTATTGATGACGTAATACCCGAGTTAATTAAGAATTCGGCAGATATTTTAGCACCATATTTAGAATTATTATTCAATATAATATTAGAAAATGGTAGTTTTCCAACTTGTTGGACAATCGGCATTATTGTCCCGCTCCATAAACAAGGAAGTATCGATAATCCAAATAACTATAGAGGCATTACTCTTTTGAGTATTTTTAATAAGGTTTTCACTTCTATCATTAACAGAAGATTAGTAACTTGGGGAGAGACATTGAATAAAATAAATGAATCTCAGGCAGGTTTTAGACATGGATATACGACTACTGACAATATGTTTATATTACAAAGTATTATACAGAGATACCTCAACATCAAAGGTGGTAAAATCTATACACTTTTCATTGATTTCGAAAAAGCATTTGATTCAGTTGATAGACAAAAGCTATGGTCTATTTTTAATACCCATGGTCTAAGTCCTAAAATGAAAAAAATGATTCATAATATGTATGAAAATGTTAAAGCTTGTGTTAAGAATAACAATGAATTCTCAGATTCGTTTGAACTACAAATCGAGGTAGGACAAGGCTGTATACTTAGCCCATTTTTATTCTCATTTTTCATAAATGAATTAGCAACCCAAATTGAAAACAATTGTGAGTATGGAATACAGTTACACCCTGACCTAGTACATATTTTTCTTCTGCTTTTTGCAGACGATATCGTGCTATTCTCAAGCACTGTTGCAGGTTTACAAAGACTTATACAAGAACTTGGGAATTATTGTGACCAGTACAAATTAGCTGTAAATAGAAATAAAACTAAAATAGTAGTTTTTAAAAAAGGGGGACGTTTATCAAAAAACGAGAAATGGTTGTATAAAGGTGAAGAATTAGAATGCACCAGTTCGTACAAATATTTGGGAATGTTCTTTAGTAATTGTTTATCTTGGACAACACATGTTAATTACGCTTGTTTGCAAGCACAAAAGGTCATGATAGGTATCTTTAAACAATTAAATGTACTTGGTGACATAAATATAAGTTCATACTTTAAAATATTTGATGCAAAAATTAAGCCAATTGTATTGTATGGAGCCGAAATATGGGGTTTGAAATTACAGTGATATTGAAAGAGTTCAATTGAAAGCATGTAAAAGATTTCTTGGTGTTAAATCCAATATGATGAATACAACTGTGTATGGAGAATGTGGTAAATACCCAATGCACCTATTTACAAATATCAGAGTTATAAAATACTGGTTAAAATTACTGAAGATGCCTTCTTATAGGCTACCAAAGAAATGTTACAATTTGATGATGCTATTCGATAAAAAAGACATTTTCTATTCTCGAAAGGGTTTGGTTTTGTATGGAACGATCAGTATGTTGATTTTGAGGGTAAGTTTATTTTAGAACTAACACAAAGATTAAAAGATATCTATTTGCAAGAATGGTTTGAAAAGATATCACTTTCCAGTAAATGTCTGTATTATAAGATGTTTAAATGTACTTTTGACTCCGAAACTTATCTTTCATGTCTAAACGTAAAAAAGTATAGGATAGCGTTAAGCAGATTGAGATGTTCTTCACATGATTTATCTATCGAAAGTGGAAGATTTAAAAATGTCAAAAAAGAAAATAGAACTTGGAAACTATGTGATCTTAACCAAATAGAAGATGAATATCATTTTCTTTTAATTTGCCCTGCTTATAATTCCATCAGAAAGTTGTATATTAAGAAATATTATTGTGTCCATCCAAACCTTTATAAATTCTCAGCATTGTTGAATAACAAAACCCATACTATACTTCAAAACTTGTCCATGTTTGTTTACTATGCCATGTTGTTTAGGACAGAATATATCTCAGAACACAATTTAACCTAAAGTTGATTATTTTCCCTTCTTTATGTATATTATCCGTGCGTGTAAATATTGATTTATAAATGCATTGTACTACAGGCCTGTGGCCTTTCAGTACCGGAAATAAATAAATATTGAAAAAAATATATATTGGAGAACGGTTTACACCGCTTTTAGCAATATTCCAGCAATATCACGGTGGGGAACCCGAGAAATGGGCTGCACACATTGTACCCCGATCTGAACAAAGACATGTTTATCGTTGATGCATAAAAAATGTATCAAATGCGGTTTAATCGTGAAACAGGATACTGTACGGTCGTTGTTGGACCCGGATGGTGTTAGATTTTCGCTCAGGACACTGTCTTCATCGATGTGTTTATTCTTCAACTTCCTGTGTTGTTAAAACATGTTAAATAAACTACAACACACATACCTATACATAAGGGATTGAAACGGGGAACACGGTATTTTAGTAAGAAATAAAGTCGGTATATATGCTATACGTGCACATACTAATGGATCAAATAAATCAGGCGGGTTTTATATGATCTTGTACAGAGTTAAACTGCCATTGTACCCACGTTAGGAAACATTACTGATACATGCAAACCAAGACTATAGACTATAGTTCCCTGAAAGTGGTCGACTTGACTTCCAATACATCAGACATTAGTTTTATAATTAAGATAATTAAGTATAACTCTCAATGTTTACATTTTTCATGGTCATGTAATACTATATATACATAATAAAGCCGTAGCACAAAACAAGTTATCCAAGCCTTACGCTAGTGTTCATAATACTATGTACCAATATAAGAAGTAAGTAAAAACACTATTCATCCCTGCAATAAACTCCTACTCATGTTTATGTTTTAATTCTTATTATGACATTACACATACCTAGGCCTGCTTTATGTAATAAAGCAAAAAGTGGTAAAATCAGATACAAAGAATAGTATTGACAAGCATAAAGACGATGACCGTTTACAGAAACATTATCAATGTTCATGATAAATATGCATACTTTTACATAGTCTCATCATAAACACCTATAGTTAACTCCGACTTTGCATCTCTTGAAATCTTCCAAAAATGATATAAGTTTGTACATTTTAGCCAGCAGTCAAGCAAATGTGCGTTCCATTAATGCCATTAGATGTTAACTTGTGCGCTCAAGATAACTAACTTGAACGCTCAATATATTAAATTGTGCGCTCAAGATAACTAACTTGAACGCTCAATATATTAACTTGTGCACTCAATATAGTAACTCGTGCGCTCAAGATAAATTTTATTTGATCAGGTCCCTTCAGCGCTTCCGTACCAAATAAACCTTAATAAATCCAACAAAATTTCAAACTAAGAAAGAAAGAATACCAAAACGGCGATAGTACCCCGTATCAAATATTATGCACAATATTAAATACGCATACCAGTGGCGGGTCCAGAGAGGGGGGGCGGATCCAGAGGGGGGGGGGGCGCATTGGGTTCGAACCCCCTGAACTCCCTCCTTTCAAAATTCCTCGATCCGCCCATGTATACAACAGATATGAATTTAAAATTTCCGATTGAAATGTATCTATGACAAAGTTAAAGGATGTCTTAAGGATGCAGGACACAGGACTCACCTGTCAGGAGACTGGTAACCGACCCGACGAGGAGGACTGTCGCAATAGCCATCGTAGTGAACAACGTGTAGGAAATGTTGTACATGGTATCCAGGCCAGATCTGAAGTCATATGTTTACGTTATTATTATTAATATTATAGGATATTTATATAGCGCACATATCCACGCAACTAGTACTTGCTCAAGGCGCTGATATGTTTTCCCCTCGATCACTGGATGTCAATCTCAACGGCACATCTTATTATCAATTTAAACTCCCTGGGGATCATACAACCTTTGCAGCCACTTATTGCGGCTTTCTCATCCTTACGAAGTACCTACCCATTCACAGCTGGGTGGACTGGGACACATAGTCACAGTACTTTGTCCATGTTTACTGCACGTTGCTGTACCCGCAACTGGGTGTTGGCATGTATACATGTGGCCACCATCTGGTCATATACCAACGGATTCGTGGGTTCTTTTAAGTGCACAGGGTTGTGTACTGTACACTGGGGGTTGTGACAACACTGAAAGAGTCTGCACAAAGTTGAATTCAAGGTTTTTACACCCGGTCACCTGTGGGATCGATCCCGACAACGCAAGCTCGCTAGATCACTAGGCAAGCTAGCAGATTATGGAAACGAAATATATGGATCATGTTTCCATTTAGACAAGTCAAAAGCCAAATAATACGTTCTTTTTTAAATTTTGGATTATGCAAAAGAAAAATTCTTAAACAAAAAGCATGAATGCGCAACGAAAGTTTCGCATCAGATTCAACGGGATGTAAATTCCTTTCAACGTGTCTCAAACACTAGTTCATATAGTATCTAGTATGTATATGACAACAAAGTACTATATCTGATAGGTGACTAAATGTTACTAATATATGCAGGATTCTTTAACTGAATTACACAACAGTGCAGTAGTGAATTCTCATCAGAGTGAATGAGTGATAGAGTGAGTGAGTTAACATTTACCGTCACATCGACAATATTGCAATCATATCGTGAATAATAAACAAAGTCGCAATAATTTAAGTCAAATTAGAAAACCTGTCAACGACGGACAGTAAATTACTAGAGGATCACATAAATAGATATAAAACTAGTATTAAAAAGTAAAATCTTTTGACTATAGAAGACAATACAATATAAAAACAGGCTATATATTGCCAACAACCGAAGGCAGATCACCATACTAGGGATCCATGGGGACTTACAAGACATTAACTTCCTGCATGGACCCAAGCTGGATTTATACCATGCCTTCAGCCGTTAGCAATTCAGTCAAATCTAGCCATACATTAAAATGACACATATTCTACGACTAAGAAGGTGGTTAGAATAGAATTCTCATCAGAACCGGTGATCCTATCATGCTACAATAATACAATGTACCTGTTCTTGACGACCTCTTCCTGTTCGAGGAGTATGGTGGTGGTGCTATTGACGAAGGATGATGCTGTCACGTTGAAGCCTGGGCAGTTGTCTGTGGGGGCTGAAGGAAGGTAGGTGCTGGCTGACCCAGCAGAGGAGAACATGGACCCTAAGGACAGCCACAGCATGAAGCTGACCCCTGCCAGGAGACCAGTGATGGCGCCCTGTCCATTCAAGGAATAAAGTCAATGACATAAAGTTATACCCCTCCAAAATACAGTCATTGTAAATGATGATTATATGTGGGCATGAAGCTGGAACGAGTACAACCTATTTAACGTCTTTTGGTTTGACGCAACCAGGAATCGACACCCGACCTCCGCTACCCAGGAATATAATAATAATAAGTCGTCTTGCATAGCGCACAGTTTCCAAACACCAAGTGATTGCTCGCGGCGCTTTTGTTAACGCAGCTAGGCTAGGCATCAGGGTGACATTTTTGGAAGAGAAAAGTTTTCAGGTTTGACTGGAAGGTAGACAGTGTTTCAGAGTTTTGAATGAAAAAGGGTAGATCATTCGAGAGAGAGGCGGATGTGAAAGAGAAGCGTCTATGTCCAAAGGTTTTCAGTTTGGCTGTGGGAATTGTGAGCAGTGAGTTGTTAGCTGATCTGAGGCATCGAGGAGGAACGGACTCTTTTACCAAGTTGGTCAGGTAGGATGGAGCTGAGCCTTTGATACAGCGATATGTGATGCACAAGATCTTGTATTCGATCCTTGCTTTGATCGGCAGCCAGTGGAGCTTGACAAGGACTGGTGTGATGTGTGACCGCTTCCTGCTTCTGGTGATGGTCCGTACAGCTGCATTCTGAACGCGCTGTAATTTGGTGACAAGATCCTGATTCACATTACCCAGTAGACTGTTGCAGTAATCCAACCGCGAGAGGATCATGGATCTGGCCAAATGGTGTGATGCATCACATGTCAACAGGTGACGGATGTTGACGATGTTCTTCACAGGGAAATAACATGTACGACACACGTTATTGACATGGTCCTCCATAGAAAGGTTTGAGTCCATGATGACCCTAAGAGTTTTTACAGTTGTACTGAAAGGTAGCACGGAGTTACCAATTGTGATCGAATTCACTTTAACCTTGGCCCGATTCGTGGTTGAACCGGTCAGCAAGATGTCAGTTTTGTTGTCATTCAAGTTTACTTTATTGATTGACATCCAGGATTTCACATCAGAAATGCACTGTGAAACATGAGCGATCTGAGTTTCGGACTGTTGAGGAAAAAGTGGACATATACTCTGTCCACTAAACCACTGAGGCCATTGCTTTTACCTATATACGAAGCTTGAAGATGTCAGATAAGGAATGCCTACATAGCATATTCTCTAGTGTCTACACGTGAAGGTCCGGGTTAGAATATTGATCTCCAGTAACCCATGCTTGTCCTAAGAGGCGACTAACGGGATCGGGTGGTCAGGCTCGCTGACTTGATTGACACATGTCATCGGTTCCCAATTGCCCAGATCGATGCTCATGATGTTGATCACTGGATCGTCTGGTCCAGACTCGATTATTTACAGACCGCCGCCAAATAGCTTGACTATTGCTGAGTGCGGCTTTAAACTAAACTCACTCACTCTAGTGTCTACTTAATTTAGAAATGTTTCAGAGCAAAACAAGGAGTGTGTTTTTTACCTTGGCGTTGGCAAATGGAAACAGAGCTCCAAGGTAAAACAAAGCATTCAAAGGACTTCTAGCAGTGGACAGTAGAGTGTACACGATCTGAAATACGAATATGTACATGAGCCAACTAACATCTATGATAGTCTTGAAGTGAGAAGCGCAAACAGAGGCAAGGAAAGCAATGAATAGTTTCCTTCCCATTGTGCACACGTTGGGGGTCGAACCCAGTGGTTTCATGTTGGTCCTAAGACTGTATGTCAGTTTAGATGAAGCAGTTAGTTAAACAATTGGTAATGACTGCAGACCTCACGGATAAATAGCATCTGTTCTAGTGATCTATCTTAGTACTATCATGAGGAATTAGAAATCAATCGCCATTGAGGTTGATTAAGGCTGACAGTATACCAACCTGGTGCAGGGATTTCGATCCAGCCGAAGATACGATAACGGCCAACACACAACTGAGGACACCAGCTATCACCACTGGATATGAAACATATTAAAAACAGGTTATGTTTATTTATGTTCATTTATTATATATACTCTAGTGAGTGAGTGAGTTTGGTTTTACGCCGCTTTTAGCAATATTCCAGCAAATCACGGCGGGGGACACCAGGAATTGGCTTTACGCATTATGCTCATAAGGGGAATCGACCCGGGTCTTCGGCGTGACGAGCGAACGCTTTAACCACAAGGCTACCCCACCGCCCCATATATACTCTAAGTATGGTTTCAATTTTGAAATCGACAGAGAACAATATTACCTGTTACTTTGGCAACTAGTACACCTTTGAAGTCTGACATATTTGGCCTGCAGGGTTTGACGATGTCATACCATGTTATGTGGGCCACAGCTGACAGACAGGACGATATGGTACTGCAACAACAACGAGCCCCCAACAATCGGAATACATCACACTTGTATTTGAGCACGTTGCAACTATACTTGAAGATTTAATACCATGAAAAAGGAAGTCCGTTCCTACACATATAAGTGTTTGAGTAAGGATGTGATTAATAAGGGCTTATGGAACATTCTGGCACAAAAGGATTCATGAATACTGGACAAATGTGAGCAATCCAACCTTTGCCATCGGCGTTACTTCTCTACCCTGTCAAATCTTTGGTTTTCGAATGCAACAATTGAATGTGAGATGTATACTACTGCAATAGAAACATGTGTAAACTGACGTGTTTACCTGAGTGAGGCACTGGAAAGGGCAGCTAGGAAAAATCCTGACATTCCGGGTATATTGTGGAACAGGTCCATGACGAAAAAGGGCAGAATCTGAAATTGAGTAATTTACAGATATGTTTATTATCAGTATCAAAGGAAATCCCGATATATATCATCAAGTAATTAAATGTTCTCTCGAAAAGGTAACTGTAAGCTGAATGATAACATACCTGATTGAGAGAGTTGATTTGCTTGGACTCCACTGGGTCACACCGTATATGGTAATAGTACCCGTATGCGACAATCCCCTGAGACAGGCCAATCAGAAGGAGGATGGGGAAAGCAGGGATGGTGACAAGTAGAGCCCTGAATGTAAACATTGTTGCTTTAACTTCTGTAACGTTTGTTGTATCCACTGAAATATATGCTAACTTCTGTGTATCGCTAGTGCTAAATCCAGTGATATCTGTGCATAGCTACTGCTTTATCCTCTGACATCTGTGTACAGCTTGTGCTTTATCCACTGACATCTGTATACAACAACTGCTATATCCACTGACAGCTGTGTACAACTACTGCTATATCCACTGACAGCTGTGTACAACTAGATATATATACACATACATCTGTGTACAACTAGTATTATATCCACTGACAGCTGTGTACAACTACTGCTATACCCACATACATCTGTGTAGAGCTATATCCACTGACAGCTGTGTACAACTACTGCTATATCCACATACATCTGTGTACAACTAAAGATATATACACATACATCTGTGTACAACTAGAGCTATATCCACATACATCTCTGTACAACTAGTGTTATATCCACTGACAGCTGTGTACAACTACTGCTATACCCACATACATCTGTGTACAACTAGAGCTATATCCACTGACAGCTGTGTAAAACTACTGCTATATCCACATACATCTGTGTACAACTAAATATATATACACATACTTCTGTGTACAACTAGCACAGCAAAAATAACTTAGTTTCCATTTTTGCGGAAACCTAATGGATACTGGGTAATGTTCGTTTCCGCTAGGTTTCAATATCCGGAAACAGACAATGCGAGTTTCCGCGTAGTTTACAAAACTGAAACTAACAAATCTAGGTTTCCGTCAGATTTCTACAACTGAAACTGTCATTATGAGTTTCCATTTAGTTTCAGGTCGCTGAAAGATTCGTAGCAAAATGACTTAGTTTCCGTTGTTGCGGAAACCTATTGGATACTGGGTAATGTAGGTTTCAGCTAGGTTTCTGTACCCGGAAACTGACAAGTCTGTTGGTTTCAGCTTAGATGAAATGGCAAACTTAGCTTTGTGTTGTTCCATTGGGGGCTATATTTATTTACTGTTACACTTGCAAATAATTTCTATATACAGTATCCAGCTAGGGCCCATGCAGGGGAGGAAAAGCAATGGCCATCTTTATACTGTACTGTTAAAAGTGTTTATGGTTATATGTTTTTAGTGTACATTTGAGATAGACTAGTTATTTAACTGTCCTTCGCAGACAGGTAAGTTTGTATTTTTATATAATGCACACATTTACAAAATTAAATTTTCAAGGTTAGTTTCAGCGAACAACAAAGTTAGTTTCCAGAAATGGAAATTTAAAGTAAAGTATCATTGGTAGTTTCCATTGCATAAAGCAGCTGGAAACCATCATTGATGGGAACGTCAATGAAACGAACGTAGAGGAAATTACTCCATATATACCAGCATATAACCGACATTAACCTACGCTAAACTGTCTATGTATTCCATGTATATAAGTTTCAGTTTAGTGATCTCAGTGTTTTTGTACACCAGAATTCAAATAAAGATACTGTCACATAAAAGAAGAATAATTTCAGGAAAAGTTAAACCATATTACGGAAACTTAAGATTCTACTTTGTCTCCTTTAACGGTTTGTTAGGTACACTCACAGATGCCTTAAACTTATAAATTACTGAAGAACCGATAAGGCTCCATTAGGTTTCAGTTACCCATTGGCTTTCCATTTGTTTTTTCTCAAAGTGATACATATTAATACAACTAACTGGGAGTGGTTATGCACATTACACATAACTGACACTAAAAAGGACAATAGTTTCGTAAATGTCCAATAAAGAACATAATACAGGCTACAACAAATTACACAGTAGACTTATAGATATAAAATATTTGTTAAGTTTAACGTCATCTGCCAGTGGTGAAAAATGTTGGGATTGAAAGAAAATGAAGTCAATGAACGTTTTGCCTTTTAGTTATAGCATTATCATTATTGATCCATTATCATATTTATAAGCACTTAGGAACCTCATAAATTTGTAAAATGGCTTTCTAGATATGTCATAGAGTACCTAAATGAGAGCTATATCCACATACATATGTGTACAACTAGAGTTATATCCACTGACATCTGTGTACAACTAGTGCTATATCCACATACATCTGTGTACAACTAGTGCTATATCCACATACATCTGTGCACAACTAGTGCTATATCCACTGACATCTGTGTACAGCTAGAGTTATATCCACTGACATCTGTGTACAACTAGTGCTATATCCACATACATCTGTGTACAACTAGAGCTATATCCACATACATATGTGTACAACTAGAGTTATATCCACTCACATCTGTGTACAACTAGTGCTATATCCACTGACATCTGTGTACAACTAGAGTTATATCCACTGAAATCCGTGTACAACTAGTGCTATATCCACATACATCAGTGTACAACTAGTGCTATATCCACTGACATCTGTGTACAACTAGAGTTATATCCACATACATCTGTGTACAACTAGTGCTATATCCACTGACATCTGTGTACAACTAGAGTTATATCCACTGAAATCTGTGTACAACTAGTGCTATATCCACATACATCAGTGTACAACTAGTGCTATATCCACTGACATCTGTGTACAACAAGTGTTATATCCACTGACATCTGTGTACAACTAGTGCTGTATCCACATACATCTGTGTACAACTAGTGCTATATCCACTGACATCTGTGTACAGCTAGTGCTATATCCACATACATCTGTGTACAACTAGAGTTATATCCACTGACATCTGTGTACAGCTAGAGTTATATCCACTGACATCTGTGTACAACTAGTGCTATATCCACTGACATCTGTGTACAACTAGTGCTATGTCCACTGACATCTTTGTACAACTTGTGCTATATCCACTGACATATAATTATAGACGTCAACTAACCACGTTCAAATAGTGTTGATCTATTGACCTTCATTTTTTTTATAATCTTACAATTAAGCCTCGAACTTTCAGTTGCACACAGACAAAGACAAAATAGCCCATGACACACTGCATTAGTATTGGGAGTTTTTACTTAAATACAACCCGTCAGTGGATATAGGTTACTTGCGGTTACTGAGCTTCCATACTGAAAAAAGTCTAAGGAACATACGAATCCACTTACCAAGTCCCTTATTCCTCATTAGAGGAATGGTTCAGTGCTACCTATACCCACCTCCTGGTTTCCTTGAGTGACTTGGCTGACGAGATGCGCTGGAGCGATGATGGCATATACAGATACCCAAACCCCGCCAGGATTCGTCCGAAGAAGAGATTCCACACGGTATGGCGCACTGTTGGGTCATGGTCAAGGCTTCGTTGTCAAACAAAAAGTAACATGTACTTCATTATTTATTTCATCCTATCTTAACGACTGTAAACTGATCGGTTAGACGGAAACATACAGTTTAGTACTCATCTGCAAAGCTATTTAATGTATAACACTTATGTCACCTGAAGTTCAACCTCCCAGTGTCTGATGCTCGGTCCCAAACTTCCACAATCCCGCCTGCGGCCAGTGTACCCTGTGGATGCGAGTGAGAATTGAGATAACGCACAAGACATAGGCGCCCGACTCTGATATATTTATAAGCATGACCTATATATATAAGATATAAGAAAGGTGTGTCAATAAGTCGAAACAAAATGGCGGCCCGGCTCGGCTAGCGAGTCTCTAATTGGATAATACAGTTGCATGTTAAAAGAGGTTGGAATAATAGAAGACGCTATCCAACCAGAGACTCGCTCTACTATTCGGTGCGGGTCTGTAGCCTGAGATTAGTTTACTTCTGGGCATATGTCCTGACTTCGTCCGAGAATGGACGGCAAACTTATTGAAAGCTTTAAATGGGAATAAAATCATCAGGTTTGTGATACGCAAGGTACTCTACAGAGGTCAACTGAGTATAAATTGTGCAGTTTATTCAACGGTCAAAGCGCTGGAAGCGTTTGTCAGAACGAAACCTAGCCGAACCAGGACATAACTCAATGGGGTTCGCATGAAATAATGTTCGGCCGGTAGAGGGCGCGAAGCCTGATGCAACGACTAAGACAAACAGGCAATACGTCAGACAGGCCTATGAATTGTCGACCATGTGTGACAACGCCCAGTGTTGATCGACACATCCGGACAATTCATCTGAGAAATCGTTTTGTAACGGCGACGTCAACGGCAGCGATGGCACTAGGACACCACATCAGTCGACACACATTGTATCATTCTCTCTTCCCACAGAGGTCACTTGTCATATCTTCCTACGAACCTCTGTTCTAATACGGCCATATTTCCTGGCTGTCGTAAAATCCCCTAGCGGCTAAAAATCGCAACCCGAATTATCTCCCTTCTTTCTATCCAATCAGAACACGTGTTACATCGACTTAGATCCAACTTTACTAATGCAAGCAAATATGTGGCCACAAATATCCTTCCTCTGCCGGGGACTTCTGTTGATGTGACACACAAGACATTTAATGGCTAGCTTGTCCGTTGTCAACGAGGGCGACGGAGACGCCATTGATCCACCATTACATGACTGAGTTCTGTCTAGAAGAAACGTTTGCACATCGCGCATGGGAAGAGGTTCTAGTTTATCCCGAAGCCTACGGAAATTACCGAGGCCTTGGGAATGATCACTTTTTTAAACTACGTCGCTGATTGCACAACTAAATCTGATTGTAACCAATCACGAATCCTGAACATTCGCACCATGAAAGGGCCGTATTAGAACAGAGGTTCGTAGGAAGATATGACAAGTAACCTCTATGGAAAGAGAATGACAATGTATCGGAGAGACTAAGAGAACCATGGAGTGCATCTGACTCTTCACAACTGACGTCGAGTGACATGGGTCAGGCGAGTTCGACGTTGGCAGATGCGTGATTAGCGAGAGTCTAGGATTTGCCTGTATAGTAATGACGGGCTCGTGTTTACAGACGAGTAGTTGAACATTGAGCGCCTAATTCCGTTCAGCAAGTCCGACCGTTTGGAGCCGATAGCGTAATGGTGTGGGGGATAATCTGCGGCGATCTTAAAACGAGAATTGTGATTACTCATGGCAACATGAATGCTCGAGGATACAGGGATGAAGTTTTACCAGTTGTGTTGCCATTTACCCAGAACCAACCACATGGCATTGTCTACCAACACGATAACGCAAGGCATTATACAGCAGGACTGTCAAACGACTTTCTGCATAACGCTAACATCGTTATTTGGCCGTGAACAGCATGTTCTCCCGACATGAATCCGATAGAACACTTATGGGAATACCTGGATAAAAAAAAATCAGAAGACTACTAGCGCCACCTGTCACCGCTCAACAACTGGAACAATGTCTCATACAGGAATGGCAACGGAGCACGCTGAACATCATTTGTCGTCTTACGTCTTCAATGCGTCGACGTCTTTTGGCGTGGACTGAAGCCAATTGATCACTATTGATTCAACATTTGATGACAATTTGCAGAAGAAAACGCCTTGTTTATTTGTGTATAAGTTCAGACTATGAAACCACGTGTCTTTCAGTTCCAGTCAAACTTTGTATGAACCGAAATTATGTACAAGTTTAGTTTTAATGTCTTGCAAGGTTTCTCTGTAATATCCATGGTATCCGTAACCCTTCTGCTCCTGAAATAAACCAACATGATCCCACAAATGCACCCGACACAAAATGAAAATAAGGCCACCTTTATAATAACCGTCAGCATTCCTGCCATCATGAGTGTAAGCTGCATCACGTCAGTCCACATGACAGCCTTCAGCCCGCCCTGGAAGGATAGATCAAGCTGAGAGGAAAGTTCCGCCATTTACAATCAAATAATCATTTTATTTTTACAATATTATTTTTGTTAATAACATGTATTTGATCATATCACATGTGCAGTTAATTTTGTTAAACATGACAACGAACAATGTTCAAACTGTAGAGAACAAATATCGAATTTGGACACGGTAAACAAAAATGTACAATCTTTGGGATTACACTTTCCCAGTAAAGCAATAGTTTAGTACTTACCTATCCGGGATTCGAACCAGGCAATTATTCGCCAGCACACAAAGTCAATGCTCGAACCCACTCAGAGAAACTATATCTGTATGTTACTTTTGACCACTTTCAAAAGGCTTTGGGCCATGCGAGTCGTGCCAGTTTACACCTGTCAGAGGGGTACACAAAGTACATTATCAAGACTAACAGTTGTCACACTTCCATTTTGGGGAAGCCGTGATGGCTGGGTGTGTTACTTTGTGTGCTGGCGCATAGTACCTCACTCTGACACAGTGACCTGAAGGAAGTGATTGCACATTGAAACGTACCAGAATTTGAACATTTACTTAAAGTGTATTCGCAAGTCTGCAATATGTTACAGGGTAAACAAGAGTTCAAAGTTTGAGCAAAGAAAGGACTCGGTCGGGGTATGATGACCAACTGTTAGGCGGGTCACCCATTTTTGATGAAGGATCCGTGTAAACCAAAGGTAATTGAAATGGTAACCTGAAGTTATAATGATCTAGGTGTTTTGAATAGCCCAACACTGAGTACCACAAGGACATTCATGTACAGAGGTGCATGTAATACCTTGTCACACTTACAATGGAGGTGTAGATGACAGTAATGGACGTGGTCACCGCCATTGCAGCATACATGGATAACCCAGTCACTGACATTGAAAAGAGAGATATTCTTTTATGACATGAATGTTATGCCAAATTGATCAACAAATGCAACACGTAAGATTTTAGAATTTTCTTTTCTTAAATAGATTTAATTAAGTTTCGATTTATATTTACAAAAAAATTCGCTTCCATGTATCATCCCTGAAGTAACAGATGTGACGCCACCTGTCATGTATTTAACGCAAGAAATTCATGCTAGAATTATTTGAGAAACATCTGAACATTCAAACTAGCAGCTGTTTCACCCAGATGAAAACAAAACAATCAATACCAGTCTCAGAATTATTTCGCATTGTTTTCCTATAGGTGCAGAATAGCGTGGAGCGTGTGTTTCTTGTTTCAGTCATGGACTGTAAAGTACCTTGTTCTATAGCGATGGCCTGGCCGTAGATGACAACACTCATGTACTGCAACTGTGTTAAGAAAGGAATGCGTGAAAAGAGAGATCTGTCGTGGTATTTTTCGCTTTCAGCCCGACTGTCATAGGGTACAACTTATTGAAAAAGGCAGTGTTAAATATGTTGGACGCTTACACATAATATCATAAAATGCACGTAAATAGCGAGAAATATATGAAAGAAGCTGTAAAATATTAATAGTTTAACATAAAGAGTATGATATCATTATATCACTATACGCTGTTCTTTGAGCTCAAAGTACAAATACACTTTCTAGATCAGAATAAATATATACATTACATAATGTAGCCACGTCACTGCATGAGTTATCAGTCGAAGGCGTCTCGAGCGAAATCGTCTTTCGAAGTACTGTAAAAGAAGCAATGGCTAGCTGAGGTTTCCTTGATTTCGTAAACGAACATATCGACATCATGTAGCCATAACCAAGTTTTAATTGGTTCTATGCCTAGTGCTCATGGAATTAACACTATTCCTGGCATATACTCTCCCAAAAAATCGCATCATGAAAATAGCAAACTAGCAAAGGAAGCAACAGCAAAATTTTGGTTATGAGTCCTATGGTGTTTTCTTAACGTGATTATATAGGTATCAGCATGAAATTTCGGCATGTAAACATAGTTTTGTTCTGCAATGCACGGATAAATATTTCAAAGTTTCAAATGATGAAGGATCTTTTAGCATAAAATTTCAACGTTTAATCTGAAGGATCTTTTTAAAAGAAATAATAGGGCTGCCCAGTTGCCCATTTTATATTGTATTGTTGCATGTTTAATTATCGTTTTATGATAAATGGCTAATTTTAGGTCTTAATCTGTGATAGTCTAGTTACCTTACTGTCCTTAGTCGACAAATAGTTCTTTTGTCTAATCTTATTTTTGATCTATACAACTCTGTGACTTTAAATTTTAACTCACTCGCTGTTCTGTGCATATTTTGGGAATGTATAACTGATGAAACATGAGTATAAAGTCTTTACACAATGGGGCACTAGAAGCCTTACCTCAAATGGTGTTGACAGATTCAGCCTCTTGAGGAAAGTTAGAGTCACAATGACTTCAATGATGGTCCCAACTGCATTTCCAATTTCACCAAGGATAAGCTCAATTCCAAAGGCATACGACTCGGCTGGGGATCCCAACATCATCACTGACGACTCCGACGTCGCTATTAAGGACAACGCTACGGGAAGGAATGTCATAGAATTGCTTGCGACAAGATATTCGTTTGTACTGCGTCCTTTGCGAGTCTTCACGGCGTAGTAAATCCCAATGAGGGTGGACCCAGCCAGCATGAGCCCGAACACCACGTAGTCCCATGGTCCGAATGTAACTGTACCCATAACTGCAATTGAACACCTTTTTAGAGTCAATAGTGCAATTGCAGTAGCGTTGAACGAGTGAATGTAAGGTCCACTGCACCTGGAAAATAACGGGTTGGAGCTGACATGTTGCTTTGAGCATCTAAAATTTATTTAAATTTATTATTTAACAAAACTTGGCGTTAGTATCTATGATAATAAAGTGTTGCAAGTTACGTAATCTGACAATTTGACTTATTCAATTTTCCAATTCAAAATGCAACATGATTAAGAATATGTAGATGTTCACCTGATGGTTTAACCCCGTTCTACAACAAAGTATATGTTTAATTGAACTTGAGCATTCAATAAAACCTTGTCCAATCAGAGATAAGTTCAATAATTGTAGATGTTACTAGAAAATGCATGGGAATAATGATTAAATAAAATTAAATATATAAATAAAGGACATAAGCATGTCCTTTGTGGAGCATGCACATGACGAACCAGCTTATGATTTTTATACTAAAGAAAGGTCTGTCTCACAAGTTTAAACCCTCTTTGCTTTGTCTTCGGAGAAATGTTTTACCAAACAGAACTTTTATGACAATATTAATGGCAACATGGTCGATGCGACAAACGGAGAAAAAATGATAATAATATGAAATATACATTAATTATGATTTTAGCAAAAGTGAGAACTTGTCAAGATTAGGAAGTTCTTAAATCCTTCAGTTCATCAAACGTGTGATCATGCTTTGTTGGTCCTGTGTTTCAAACAGTATACTCACGCAGCAACTGTACTCCCGTAGTAGACCTGTTTACTGGATTATCAGGTTCACTCTCACTCACATCTAGCACCTCGTTCTCATAGTTGGTAATATAACCCTCCACACCTTCTCTACAACAATAAATATGAAGTATATTTGATATATGCTCATTTCACTATTCCATCAGACTGGTAAATAAGTATTTTAAAATAGAGCCAATTTGAAGCAATTTATTCAATTGTTTCATTCATTGTAGCGGTGAATACATATTGAAAATAGTGCTCAATGCTTAAGGTATTGTGGTGGTTTATTATTTATTCATTAATCGAGCCTTGTCCATGTATGGATGGATACAACCTCATAACACATAATTGGGTAACTGAGTTTCCATATCAAGTACACGCACAAACACAAATCATTAACATAAGATAATGTTCTACTCGAGATACATGTGACATCTGTCACATAAACTTAATATACCTAATGAAAACCAGGCGTGTTAACGTTAGCTATTATGGAATATTTCTCTCTCTCTCAAGTGAGAAGCGTATTTCTTCGAACCACTCTCTGATACTGTATTACCTCCCCTTCCCTCTACCTGAGCGTAATGAAAAATGTTATTAACATATTTAATTGATTATGTATTAATTGTCTAATTGCACATGAGGTACATGCAAGATGTAAATCATACTCAGTAGCTGAAGACTGAGAAGTGTATGTATTCCGAACCACTCGGACAGCGCAAGGATAATTCAATAACACTTTTCATCTGTGGACAGGGTAATTACATGTTGTGTAACAATTTCCATCGAAATATTTTTGAAACCGTACATAAAAGCATATTTGCAGGTTGCAGATAGGGATGCCATTTATAAATAGATTGTACGTCAATCAATCAAGTGACTGACTCCGTGAACATCAACCTACGCAATTGGGATACGATAATATGCACCAGCTAGGTCGGCAAGCTTGACCACTAGGGCAGGGCCTGACAACCTATCAATGTTTTTAACTCGACACACAGAAGGACGGAAGAATTATTTATATCACAGGAAAGCTCGGAGATGAATACGAAAAACGAATGTGCCAGTGTGTTCACTTGTTCACAAGCAAACATATTGGCTCTGAAAATACTTTAGGAAAAAAAATTCTGATAGTTTTCTTTCCTGCAGTACAATTTGCCAGAATTCCTTTACTCCAAAAATAACTGGCAGAATTTCATTCAGCAGTAATTGCTAGCAAATTTACATAATTCCGCAAAAAATAGGTTTCATCTTTGGATAGCTTGATATGAATTTTATATAAATGATGTGAAGCAAGATATAACATCTAATCAAGATGAACTGAATATGAAAAGCATTTGGTGACTTCTTTATGGAAGAAATCATCTCAAACATGCGTCCTGTTGCCTTACGTTCCCAACGTTTTCAGAGATGGGTCCTATCAGAGAAAATAGATGTTCAATGTATGTAAAGATGACCGTAATAGGTTGATGCATTTGAGGGAGTGGATTGTTATTGTGGCAGTTTCAATAGTCTGCTTTACAAAAGTTTTCTTCTCAATATACTTGAAATGAATTCGTAGTTTTTGTTGGGTCGAGCCACTGAAGTCTATAAGCACATATTCTGAAAACCATGAAAAACACATTCAGTTTTTTCATTTCAATTACAAACGCATTAAACATGCTTTAGGCACATAACAACAATATACGCTATACGATAAATTTGAATTATAATTAACAGGCTATTTATATATACACGCTCAACATGGCCAGGGTACCGAGCTGCGATGATAACAACACCTCAGCGACAAGGACAACAATAATATAATCATAATTTAACAAATGTTTTAAATGCTTGCTTTCATATGATCAAAACACTTTATTTCTGAATTGTACATCGTTTGGAAGTTCACTATTTATAATTATCACCCGGCATCGTCTCATGTAGCTACATGGTGTATCCAAAGCCGGGCACAATATACCTGAATAAACAGTCAACTTGACAAGACTTCATTTACGTGAGATACTGAAAATTGCGATGTTGGAGATACTGAAAAATGTACATTTAACTCCGTCCGATCCGATTATTGGTTAGTATCATTCACTACAACTGATCCGAGGGGTAATAAAAACTACCTTGAGGAGCAACCAAATGTCCACTCTTCAAAGTTGTCTCCAAACAGGATGCGACATTGGGCAGTCAAGGACAACGTGCACACAACTTTTGCCCAAATTTCCTAAGGCGAAAAAACCATATGCATGTAAGTCAGACATCAAAGGTCATGGAAGAACCAACGTGAGGCTGTATGATCATATGGTGATTGATATATACGTTTAATTCGTGACTGGTATATTTGCCAATGATAATATTGTATGTTGGTGAGTGAGTGAGTGAGTTTAGTGTTACGCCGCACTCAGCAATATTCCAGCTGTATGGCGGCGGTCTGTAAATAATCGAGTCTGGACCAGACACTCCAGTGATCAACAGCATGAGCATCGATCTGTGCAATTGGGAACCGATGACATGTGTCAACCAAGTCAGCGAGTATGACCACCCGATCCCCTTAGTCGCCCCTTACGACAAGCATGGGTTACTGAAGATCAATATTCTAACCCGGGCCTTCACGGGTCTATTGTATGTTGGTAGCAACAGAATTGTTGCATAGGGCGTGGTTGTTTAATGACAAAACTATGTGAAAATTCATCGAGCTAACTTACGCAATGGGTAGAACATGCATCTACACGATATCATTTACAGAACATCACGTGATAGTATTGATTTACTATGCATGTGTTTCAAGTAGAAATGCTGCTCACAAACCAAATATATGTCTAAATAAACCCGTCATTGGCATTTATATTTAAATACATTATCATATATATTAACTGTCTATGATCATTATAACTGAAATATATTTGAACTAATAACTAATATTTAATGGTAACCTGGGATACATTTTAAAACAGATTACCCAGTGGGGCGTGGGCACCCTTGTGTTTGTTTTGCATTACCAATCATGGACGTCCGAGCTTTCTCAATGTAAAAAAATGGTGATTATATAGTTTGGTGTGTATGTTAATCATCAATAACGTTTCCTTCATTTTCCGAGAACGTTCAGCCAGACAGTGAAAATATATCTATACTACCGGAATAAAGTGACTGTGCATTAGCTGATGTTATGCCATATTTTAATGCAGAGAGATGATAACATGATTCGTGGTGTTTTCCTTAATCACTGTTTAACTGTTGACAGGATAAGACCGAAGTCTGTGTGTTATGACACTAGGCATCGTGACACGCTCTTGAAGAGATGTGGTGTAGAAAGTCAGTTCACAAATTCAGCATCGTGTGTGTCCATCATTGGAGTTAATACAGGTTTGACAATGACGACGCATAGACGACACTAACCGATTGAAGGAAACTTGGGGAGTGATGTTCCATGTCTGAACCAACGCTTGTTCCAATTCAGGTTAGTCAATGGCTGATTCTGGATTTGACGTAAACGTCATTCCATTTCATCCCAAACATGCGCAATAGGGAACGGGTCCAGAGAAACAGCTAGCAAGGAGAGTACAGGAATGTTCTTCTGTCTCAGGAAATCTGTCACAACACAAAGGACATGTGGACGGGCATTATCTTGCTGAAGCGTGAAGTTACGTCCTTGAATGAACGGCTGCACATGAGGCCCAATAATCTCATCTGTATGGCAGTCAGACTGCCAATGACAATGACAAGTCGTCCGAGCAGTCATACTGGCAGTCTGGGATCGATTCCTTAGATGGGTCAGCCGAATGTGGTTGTCTTGCCGATCCGAGGCAAATATCTCGTGTTGCCATAATGTTGAAAACGTCTCCATAGAGATGAGATCGTGTTTCGATGGACACGAAAATCTCTGGCCACTTCATTTTGGGCCATTTCAGCCTCCAGCATACCCACGGCGGCGCGGAGACGCCGATTTTCTGTCAGCCGTGGCATGACGTACACGCAGTTTAGGTTGAAATTAACGTGTCTTCGACAAAATTCAAAGGTTAGAGAATAATCAATCGTTCTTAAAATTTCAATATCAGGTGTGTGAACTTCAGGTGTCAAAAAGCATACAAAAAGTGAGTAAGTTCATTGTGCACGCGCGATACGTGACATCAAATTCCGTGCAAAGTGCTTTGCTACATGTTTATTGTGGGTTATTTTTATAACTTTTCAAATAACTTTTATTTTATGCAATTTTATGTTATGCACAGTTACTTTTTCCGTTAGTATATTTGTCAAGTCG